TAAAATAACTTTTTTCATTATATTAAATCATATACTACCTCCACTCAAAATTTGTTGCAACTTTGGGGTAGTGCGCGAACTTCTAGGCAAAATTTGGTAATTGTTAATTAGTTTGGTGAGCATGTGAGTGAGTGGAGAGAAAAAATTAATATCCCTCCAAAAGGTGAAATCAGATTTTTTTTTTTTTTTCCCCAAAATTCTGATTTCACCTTTTCATCTTTTCCCTCCAAAAACAAATTTTCACCTTTTCACCCCATCCTTATAAATGCATCATAAAGCTTAACTTTCAATCATTTTTACACTTGCATTATGGAGGACAAAACCCTACCATATTTAATTTTCTGAATTTATTTCAGAACTTAAGAAAAAAAAATACAGCAACGTTTTCAGCAACAACCCGTTTTCAACAGCCCGTTCTTAGCAACAAAATCCAGCAACATCAACACCTTCATCATCTTCAACAACACCTCATTCTGAAAAAAAAATGAAAAAAAAAAATTAAGGAGACTTGTAAAAAAAAATAGCCATGTTTCCAGAATACCTTAACGGGTTTTTCAGCATCGAGATGATGTTTCAGGATGAGGAGGAGCTACTCACAGCAATGTACCACTCAACATCACCAAAAACACAAGAAAATAATTCATCAGAAAAAGATTCCCATGATTCTGATGACGAGTTTTTCAACATCGATATGGTTTTACAAGATGAAGAGGATTTTATGGCAACAACAGAAAGCACAACACAAGGCAACTTTAATTCATCACAACAAAACATTCAAACAGAAGTGGATGTCCAGAATACAAAGGAACCAAGGAGGGAGCTCACAGCAGCAAAGAAAAAAGCTATAGTTGACAAAATGCTCTCATTAATGCATAATGGCTCATTACCAAGGGGCAGTTTGGCCCGTTTTGCAAGGGACTTCAGTGTACAAAAATCAACGATAACAAGATTATTTAAGGAATTATGCAAGAAAATGCAAGAAGGGGGTGTTATCGATGTCAGAAGCAAAAAAATTGGCAAGTGCGGGCGAAAACCAATTGAATACACAGCTGAATTCTTATTGCCATTGCACCTCAGAACAACGGAGGCTAGATATGCTAGTGCACTAAAGATACCAGCTGAATTCTTACAGTCAGTCCCCTTGCATGCAATGCCAGCAACAATTACTTACATCATCATTTTCCAGAAATAACAACAATAACAATAATGAAATAAATTTAGAGAACTTAAATAACAGAGAGGTTAGGGTTTCAGAAATCTACCAATAAATGTCAGCAAGCAAGTTCATTTCAAACAGGGAGACTCAGTTGGATCATTTTTCAGGACCTTTCGTGAATTAGGGTTAGTAGAACATGTGGTGCGTTTCACTGACCCACAAGCACCAGAGCTACATTCTGGGTTCTGGGTATTCTTTGGTGGTTTAGTTACAACCTTGGAAACGAACCCATGTGAACTGAGATCTTGGTTTTCGTCATCGGAGTACATGAAATGAATACAAGTTCATTTCATGTACGGTGGCGGAGCAGAACGAACAACAACCCCCAACGCAACAACAATTTTATGACTCGTTATGTCAAGGCCCTTGCCGGAACTGTTAAGGAGCTTAAGCCACGACGACCCCTGCTCAAATGCGTCAATTAGGGCTAAGATTAACCCCTTTTCAACCTCATCGTTACTCTCAAATAACGCAAGGTGTAATGGGAAAACATTCATGGCCGACATCGAGGGACAAACATAAATCTAGGGTTTCTGATTTGCGAAAAATTAGGGGGACTCACGATTTTAGGGTTCTGATTAGGGGGACTCAAACACACGATTTTAAGGTTCTGATTAGGGGGACTCAAACTGAAGATGAACAAAAACCCTGAATCGACCCCAAAATCGAACAAAGAAAATCGATTTTAGGAAAATCAAACCCAGAAAAACGAAGAAGAAGAAGAAGAAGAAGAATTTTAGGAAAATCGAACACAGAAAAACGAAGAAGAAGAAGAAGAAGAAGAAGAAGAAGAAAGAAGAAGAAGAAGAAGAAGAAGAAGAAGAAGAAGAAGAAGAAGAAGAAGAAGAAGAAGAAGAAGAAGAAGAAGAAGAAAAAAAAAAAAAAAAAAAAAAAAAAAAAAAAAAAAAAAAAAAGAAGAAGAAGAAGAAGAAGAAGAAGAAGAAGAAGAAGAAGAAGAAGAAGAAGAAGAGAAGAAGAAGAAGAAGAAGAAGAAGAAGAAGAAGAGAAGAAGAAGAAGAAGAAGAAGAAGAAGAAGAAGAAGAAGAAGAAGAAGAAGAAAGAAGAAGAAGAAGAAGAAGAAGAAGAAGAAGAAGAAAGAAGATTTTTAGGAAAATCGAACCCAGAAAAACGAAGAAGAAGAAGAAGAATTTTAGGAAAATCGAACCCAGAAAAACGAAGAAGAAGAAGATGAATAGAAATCAATTTTAGGAAAATCGAACCCAGAAAAACGAAGAAGAAGATGAATAGAAAATCGATTTTAGAAAAATCGAATCCAGAAAAACGAAGAAGAAGAAGATGAATAGATAATCAATTTTTGGAAAAATCGAACCCAGAAATCGAAGAAGAAGAAGATGAATAGAAGAACAACGAACCCAAAAATATAAAGCTCAGTAGCGAAAATGCGAAGAGAATCACTTGTTCAAGATGATGAACAGAGAGCGATTTTAGGGTGTGCGAAGGTTGAAAGTTAGGGTTCAGATGGTGGATGGAAGAAGACAGTGAGAATGAGGAACAACAGAATGGGGGGCAGATGATTCTAGGGTTTAGATGATGTTGGGTAGTTGGTAGATTGTTAGGGTTGTGAAAAATGATTAAATTTTAACAAAAAAAATTAAGGGAAAAATGTGATTAGTTTAGTAGAGTAATTATAGTTTATATTTTTTAATTAAGGGCAAAATAGTCATTTTGCACAAAAAAACTACCAAAAATGGAAAGAAATTGGAAAGTTGCAGGTAATTGTGAGTGACCAAAAATGGCAAAAGGTGCAACAAATTTTGAGTGGAGATAGTACTACGTTCTACGTATGCCTTAAAGGCTAGATGTATTTTTGTAAAAAAAAAAAAAAAAAAAAAAAAAAAAAAAAAAAAAAAAAAAAAAAAAAATTGAATATTTGAGGAGCATGAAAGTTGGAAGAAACTAAATATAGAGAAAGCAAGAGAAGCCCCGAAGAATTCTAGAAAGGAAAGTAATAACACGTCTTCAAGCTATTATACTATATTAGAACAAATTTTGACTTTATTTCTTTATTGATATATAAAATCAAACTAGTTGTTGGCCCGGACAATAACCCGAGTTATTATATATATATATTATAAATGAGGTTTTATAATAAAAATTATATATGTGATAAAATACAAATATAGATTAAACTAGATTATCCCCATGTGATGCACGATTTTAACAAAATAATTATAGTGTAAAACTCGTATATACATTGAATCTTTTCAATTTTGTCATAAAATCACTGAAAGAAGTTTTCTTGAAAGGAATACAGTTTGAATATTTCAGGAAATTTCTAGACGTTTGAATATTAGTGTTAAGGAATTGAGGAGAGGGAATGATAAATCTTTAAAACAAAATAAAAGAATACAATTGCTATTCAATTTACTATACTCCGATTTTCTAGATTAAAGTTGTTGAAAGAATTTACTTAGCTTGTTTACGAAGTTAAAAAAAATCCTTTTTAAAAAAAGTATCACAAAAAAATGACATCATCAATGGTTTTAGGCGGGAAAAATTTTCATAAGAAAGCAACACGTATACAGTTTTGAGGAGAGATGATGTCAACAATGTTTTGTTTTAGTAATATTTAATAGATTAGTTATATTTGTTGTAAATAAAGGAGTAGTCTAGTACAAATATAGTATAAAAATACTTTAAGTAAGATAAAAAAAGATAATCTCACAAATAATGGAACAATATCGGTGTGTCTTGATGTAAATCACTGACTTGAAAATGAATTTTCGGCGCAACTAAGGTGCTCAATTGTATTCGTCAGCACGTTCCATAAGGTTAACACACCATTTCCACACAAAAACACTTTTGGGTGAAAGGTTTGAGTCAAGTGACTTGTGCCCAATAGAGAATGTGTTTAGACTGTGCTTGATGTATCTTTCAAGTGTAAATAATCAGAAAAAAGGCTTCTTCTATTTATAGAGAAACATAAAAGAACATAGAAGAAGAATCTCAAGCATCAAGGGAGTTGAATAATCACCTTAAACATCCTCTTAAATGGGGGGTTATGAATATAATTCCAACAACATTTACTACAGTACTCGTACTATTTAAATATATTTTTCCAATCATTATTGAACATCAAAATATATTATCCAATATCTAATATTTAAAATTATTAATTTGCTTAGTGCGACTTCAAGTTTATGAATATGATTAACTCTTTTTAACAAAACATTGTAGATATGAGATGTGTCATTAAAGTAGTGGTTGAAGTTAAAATATAATAAGCATGAGGTCGTAGGTTTGAACATTAATGCTAACAATTCATTATTATTTTTTAATGAATTATAGTAATTGAACGACATGGCGCCACATCATCTACTTAGTCATGATGACACATGGCGGGCTCATGTCTTCTCATTGAGTTTTAATATATATATATATAGATGTTATTAACTTTTGTTAGATTCGTCACAATGTATATTTTCACAAGTTAAATTAATACGAAGTATAAAATTAAAGATATTGATGATCAAAGTTGTACATTCACATGTGTATCGGTCAAAATGATGCACTATACGGAAGAAATATTGTTCATTTACCTCACTCTAACCATTTTTCATTACTTATACATGATAAACAACGTAATTATTATGAGTAACAAAAATATAAGGTAATAGTAGTTCATAAAGCTTTATTGGTCCAGCAAGAAGTTGAAAATATCATGAAACTGCATGGTTGATGTCAATTCTCACATGCCCCCTATAATTTGTCTAACATTACATTAGTATCCTGAGTTCATCTCCCTACTTCAAGAGTGCTTACAATAGGCAGAAAAGGAGTAACATTAACCTTCAGATTGCAGTGAAATACTTACATGGCCACATGGGTATCCTGGGTTAATGAAAACTAAGTAGTAAATGGCATTGTAAAACCATGCTTAGCAGCCAAAAAAACTATAGAATACACATTAATTTACAAAGTAAGCCAAATTGGACTATTGTTTTATGGATATAGCAGTTTGAAGAGCTAAAAACATTGCCCAATGCCTCTGATTAAACATCGAACTTTTGCAGATAGGGGGATCTGATGTGAACGCAATACGAGATGGTAATCAGATATTCAGATATGCACTGCTGCTCAGCAATGAATAAAGAAGTGCTTAAAATTAGAACTTCTTGCTCAGTTTATTCACCAGAGATTGTAATGTTGGTTAACCTTTATTCACCAGAGATTGTAATGTCTCATTTTGGAGTACAAACATTGATCAGACAATGGATCAGTATCAGGCAGTCAGAAATAGGATGAATCTACTTTATACAATGTGACCAAGCGCACAAGCAGGGTACACATTATCTGTATCGGTGTATCCTATAGACTGCAATAGAAAATAGGTAGAGATGGTGAACATTTCTGTAGTGATAAAGCTAGTAAATAAAACTGCCCTGATAACTGCAAGCCTAATGAATCAAAGATGATAAGTTGACGTATAATGTCTCACATTTCTTCATAATCGGTTTTTTTAAACTCGATGAGTCCTAAATGTATGACAACTAAAGTAGCAAAAACTAATGCCTGCACTTGTGCTTCAATCTGCTACTCATCAGATTCTTCCTCCAAACTGGATGTTTCCTCTTCCCAACATTCCCCTTCCATCTCATGCTCCTCCCCCTCCATATTTTCATAGTCTTCTGACTCTTCTCCATTTCCATCTCCAGCATTATCCAGCAAGCAGTCATGTGGCGACAAAAAGTCCACACCTTTACCGCGATGAAGAAGCCCCGTTCTCATCACATGGTAAAACTTATCCCTAATACGGACCAGCGGATGAGGATTCAGTAATCTACCCTTTCGATACCCTTCTTTCAAAGTAACAGTGGTTGTCTTACACTTCAAAGACAGATAGAATATCCCCGGATACCTCGTAAAAATCCGAGTAAACCTATGAGGAAGATTCAACTCCTCTCTCAAGCTTCTCAAATAATTCCTTTTAGTCTTCTTATGTATAGTCAAGCTCAAAAACTCATGCAACAACCCAACTATCCGTTTCTCCATAAGCTCGCTCATAGGATCGAGCCTCGAAGAATCCTCATAAGGCGAAACATAAGGCAACTTCTGAAACTCCTCCATCCAAGCCTTAACCTTCTTTTGATACCCATACCCCTTCGGAAAGCTCATCGCGAAAGCTAAAGCGGTTTGCCCCTTCTTAAACTCCCTATAATCATTCCCTAATTCAATCCTCTTTTCACCACTCTTTTCCAATGCAGAAACAGCAAATTCTTCCCTCCATTCTACAAGACTCAAAAAGGGTAACCCATTACTCCCCTTTAAAACCCTAAAATGATTCGGATACTTCAAAACAATCAATTTCTCAAAATTATCCGGTAACCCTAAATCCCATTTCAAAGGATAAATCGATTGCAATGGCGCCCCCTTAGATTTCGTCATCATCAGCAATTTACAAAGCCTTTCAACAATACCCAATTCATCATTTTCATAAATTAAGTGTTCTTGTTGATCTAATATAACAGCAAAATCAGTAAGCTTAAAGCAGGGCAAATTAGGGTAACGAGAATGAGGAAATTCGTGAAAAAGAGTAGGATACCTTCGAAGAAATCGAAGAACAGGGACAGTAAGACCTAGAAGCTTCTGCCAATCGGAGACTGTTCGGGCAGTGATGAAGGAAGTTGGAGAACGTTTAATGGCATCTTTGAGAAGCATGGCAGCTTTGAGATCGGTTTCTTTGTCGATAATATGGTCGATAGTTTTGTTCTTCACCCATTTTAGGCGAACTTTGGTGATGTTCCGCCATTGTTGGAGGTTGAAAAAGGTGGAGGATGCGGCGGAGGTGGTGGAAATGGAGTGGCAGTGGGATTTGAGGAGAGAGATGAAAGTTTGAGGGTTGAAAAGCATTTAGTTGGCAAGTGAGAGTTGGTTGTTGTTTACGGGAGGTTCAAATGATAAGAAATTAAACTGTCAAATTGAAGAGGGAAAGAGTTAGGTATTTGTTGTTAAAAAAAAGAGTAGAGGTCTTGTTGAAAAAAAAAAAAAAAGAAAGAAAGTAGAGGTAATTGGTCGAACCGCCTAAGCGAAGGTTGTTCACCGTTTCAAGACTATACTAGACTCGATTGAATTAGACCGGATTAAAGATTAAGAATTTGGAATTTAAGATTTGAACATTCGATCGATTTTGCTACAAATTTACCAATCCAAAAGACAAAATGAATCAATATGGACCTATGTAGGGGTGAAAGTAGTTTGGATAAAAACCGAAAACCGATCCAAACCAAACCGAACTAGAAATTCGGTTCGGTTTTTTCGGTTTTCAGTTTGGATTTGGTTCCAAAATCCTGAAACCGAATTATTTCGGTTTGGATTCGGTTTTGGGTCCTAAAAAACCGAAAATCGAAATCTAAATCGAAATGTTTAAAGCCCATATAGATTCCAGCCCAATTCCCCTACATATATATAGCAAACCCTAATTTTCTCCTTCATTTTTCTGACTTTCGGCCACCTTCACTCCTCAATTCCTCTACTTCCTCACCAAAACCCTTCATTTCCTTCACTCCGACCACCGTATCTCACTCCGACCACCGTATATTGTCTCCTTGGTCGAATATCAGTTCCTTTCTTCATATCTGGTGTTCGTAGACTTCGTACTCCCTCAATCCGCGACGCGCCACCACCTTCTGTCGCCACCACCTCTCTCAGTCACTCAAAGGTAAGGATTTTTTTATTTACTCCTCTTTTCCTCTTTCATTTGTTTTTTTGAATTGGGAATTTGAATTATGTTCGAATTAGGAATTTTGAGTTATTTCTGGGAAATTAATTTATTATGTTCGAATTGTGAAATTGAGTTATTAATTTATTATGTTCAAATTGGGAATTTTGATTTATCTCTGGGTTATTATGTTCGAATTGATTCCATTCAAATTGGTGATATTTTGTTCAATCTTTATAGTGATGTTTTGTTCTGTTATGTTCAAATTGGTGAGTACTTATGTTATTTTTGATAGATTCATTATTTTATGAGCCTTATTTTTGTAGTATAATGATTAATTATCATATTTTTTTTTTCATTATGTCATATATATTATGTAACTTGTTTATTTTTTGAATGTTAGACTTGAAGAATATGAAAATTACTGATCCAATCAACCCAAACTTGGTTGAGCTTGATTGAATGCATGAAGAGTACGCTGCCAAGAAGAAGAAGCTAATGCCAGATTTGAATGAAGCTGCTGCCAATCTGCCATACTGTCATTTTATGTTTAAGATTACTGTTGTGTTTGACTGTCTGTAATTTTTATTTTGGCTGGACAAACTTAAGTGTTGTAATTCGTGACGTTAATTGTGGTGGTGGAAGCTTTGTCTAAAAATTTATGTTTTGTTCAGGAACAGGTACAAAAATTAGGTCTTTAAAAGGCCAAAACTATTTGTCCAATAACAGCCTAGAATTCAAGGCCCAAAAAAACAACCCAAAGAAATTCGGTTCGGTTTGGATTCAATATCCAAAACCGAATTATTTCGGTTTGGATTGGATTGGATTGAATCCAAATTCGGTTTGGATTCGGTTTCAAAAATCCAAAACCGAAATAATTCGGTTTGGATTCGGTTTGGGGTATAATCCAAACCGAATACCGAACTTTCACCCCTAGACCTATGTTAAAATAAAAAAAAATAAAAAAATCAATGTTCTTTAAAATAATTTTATAACAATAAGATAGAAAAAATAAATAAAAAGTGATTAGGGGATTTTACCCCGCCACGTGGACCAATCAAGACCCTCACGTGTCATCCACGTGGACCAACCAGAGTCCGCCATGTGTCACTCAGTGAAGAGTCCAAAGTGGACCAATCAGGGCACGACACATGGCAGACAAATATCCAACTAAGAATAGCTGTCTTCAAGGCCCAAACTCCTAGGCAGCCCAATCAGTCCTAGGTTTCAGTAACCTAGGACTGGGCACGTACTTCGAGACCCTATAAAAGGGAGATGTTCCCACTTGGGGAACAAGAGGGACAAACATTCAGTGAGAGCATTAATTGCATAATTAAACACACTTGAGGGTTTACACTCGAATATTGAGGTTGTTTGCTATAGCCGAATGATCATTCCTCTCTTAAGAAGAACCTAATCCCAGTTACATTCCGCACTTTTACATCCGAACATGTTCTAACTTGATCGTCGGAGGTGGAACTCCCACCAAACAGAGTCTCTGTTGTTTTGCAGGTACAGGCCCGGAATCCAATCAATTGGAACTGTAACTCTTCTAAATGATACAGAAAACCTCGAAACAAAAAGTAAATACAAAAATCTCCGTAACTACTTCATAATTGCTTAAATAGTATTTTGGCTCGGGCAATGACTGGCAGTACATGATTCAATCTTTTCTTAAATAAATTTTGTCTCTTAGATTATTGTTCACTACGCTTTTATTTTTCTTTGCAAAAGAGAATACTCATAAAATATCACATACAGGGAGTGAGAAATAGCTCAAGTGGTTAGAGCTTTCCTCTCGATTATAGGATCCGAGGATCGATTCTCACCCTCATACCTCTCTAAACACCACATAAAAAAATAAAAATAAATAAATAAATAAAAGAAAAAACATACGGAGTAGTTTAATGGTCAGGCATCAATACTATTATTTTAAAACAAGATGTTCGAGGGACACTTGTCCAGAAATTCAATGAAATATCTCCTCTACATCTCTTTCATTTCAATCCCCTAATCATGCCTATTCAAGAAAATAATTTATTGGATAAATATATATATATATACACACACACACACACACACATATACTAGATGAAGCCCGTGCGATGCATGGTTTGTTTGTATTTTTCAAATAAAATATTTTACTAAATATATAATTATCTAATAAATTTTGTGATATTCGCTTGCTTACTACTTGCATTGTTTATTATAAAATGAATTATTAACTTTTATATCTCATATTTAGATAAAAATTCGTAATATAAATAGATAATATTTTATTCTACAAAGTTTTGTATGTGGCTGGTTACACCGTGTGGTCGGGATTACTTGGTCAAGATTTACTTGGTTGATCAAGGGTAACTCAATCGATCAGGGCTTATTCGCTCAGTATTTGGGTGTGTCTCATCCGGCCACACGATATGACCAGCCCCACAAAAAAAGCGCTGATTTTATTTTTATAATTAATATAAAACTTTTGATCTAAAATAAATTGCAACTCTTTTTTTTCATTGGCTAAAATATAACATTATCCTATGTGACGCTCTAAAATTAATCTTACGTGGCATAATCCTATTGTAGTGTTTTAAAATTATTAATTCTACGTGGCCCTTTTTATAATAATCCTACATAGCGCTTTAAAAAAAAACTAACCTTGTGTGGCATAATCTGATTGTAGCGTTTTAAAAATATTAATCCTAAGTGGCGCTCTAATAATTTTTTAAAAAATAAAATTCTAGGTGGCGCTCTAAAAACTCGAGAAAAAACTCCCCTATATATATATATATATATATATATATATATATATATATATATATATATATATATATATATATATATATTTGTTTTATGCCCGGACAATGCCCAGATGGTTGTAAAATTTTAAGATAATATTTTTACTTGAATGTTAAATACGGTGAAATAATTCGTTCTAATAATGTAGGATATTTAGACATACGATATCATATAGAGTGTATTTTTGGTAGTTTTGTTTGTAAATAGATATCTATGTTATTATTGACTTGAAATTATTTTTATTGAACTTAAATTATATTCACTGAATTGAAAGTATTTTTATCAAATTAAAATTATCTTTACTGATTATAACTTATTTTTACTAATTCTCTAATTTTTTTAAATAAATTAAATAACAATACATTTTGAAGGCAGCTAGCCACACCATCTAGTCGGACAAAAGTAACCCCCTATAAAACTGATCGAGTAATCACTGTACTACTAACTAAGCAACCTCTAACACTGATTAAGTAACTCTATAACACTGATTGAGTAACCACTATAACACTGACTAAGTTTCCCCAATAGCACTAACAAAGTAACTCTTGTAGTAGTTGGTGACATAGCTTGGCCAGCTACGTTTAAAAGTTTGTGATTAAATATATTATAAATGGAACTTATTTTAAGGAACTTTTTAAAACGAATTTAATGATGGAAATAAAATTAAGTTATAGGATATTTATTTAAAGTTATAATTAATTTAGTATATATGAAATATTAGAATTCTATACTATCCAAAAATCGTTTACTTAGCATAATATGTGTCATAATAATACCTATTTATCTCCTATGTGGCGCGACACTTGGCGAAAAACTGGAATGCCAAGTGTTGTTGTCTCGTGGCCTGGCTGTGAGACCGACTTTATTTATTAGTGATATGATATTATATACTTCGTATTATTAAAACGAAAATCCAATAAAACATCTCTTCTGACCGAATTTACAAATCTTTTTTTTTGTTTGTTTTCTCTCTTTTGTTTCAACTAAAGTGTAAAAAATAAAATAAAATAAAACCAAATTAAAAAAAAAACTCCTAAACGATTCAATCCCCTCAAAAAAAGATATCAATTTTCATTTGTGTCTCTTAGTTTCACTAAATTGCATTATATATATAAATTTTCAGTCACACTAAAAAATTAATAATAGTTTATCTTCCCCCTCTCTAATTTCTTACGCTTTCTCTATTTACCCTAACTCTACCATTTATCTCTTTCATCCTAAATCTATAATTTGTATTAAGTAATTAAAAAAAAATAAAAAAGTTGTCAAGATGTATACAAACTTCAAAAAATAATAGCGGTATTGAATTTAAGGGAGCAATCAAACGTATGTTTTCTCAACTTTATTTATAATTCTTTTTTTTTCAAATTTCTTTCCACTTTTTTGTTGCTTTGGTAAATAATCATTTTTTAACAAATTGCGCTTTTGATTGTCTAGGTTTTTATAAAACTTTGTATTTTTTTTTTCCTTTTTCAATGTTCAAACATAATTTTTTTATGAATTTTAATATTTTTAAATTATTTCATGTGTCACTTATTTTTCAGATCTCGAGATTTTTATTAAGTTTATGTAGGATTTTAATAGTTTTCAATTTTTTTTTCTGAAATTTGTTTTTGAATTTTTGGGTGATTGGTGTTTAATCGTTTTTTGTAAGAAGGATTGTGTATCAATATTTTGTTTGGATTTTTTAAAAGATTTGCATAATTAATTTTCTTTTACAATGTTTAAAGATCGAGTTTTTATAATTCTATTTTCAATTTTTTTTTTATTTTGTTATATATTTTCTTTTCATTTTTTAAGATCTCAATTTAAATTTATTTATTTTTTTACTTCATTTTTTTCTATGATTTTTGTTTATTGTGTTTTTATTACTGTTTTTGTAAATTTGAACTAGATTTGCAAAACAATTTTTTTATTTGATCTAATATTTACTACGTTTTTAAATTGTTATTTTCACTTATTGCTAACATGATGTTTTTCATGTGGCAGATTAGTTATTTGTATTCTTTCCTTAATGCTACATTGTACTTCATTTTATAATAAAATTACGAGTACCTATTTTTAATGTTCAAAATGTTCGGTTGCACATAAGCTAGACTCTATATTGAGTTTTGTTTTTTTGTAATATCTTTTTCTAAATTTTACATTCTACTCCACTATTTGTTTTCTCTTTAATAATTTATTTTTATTTTCTTTTCTATTTTCAATTTTCAATTTCTTTTAAGTAATGTTGATTCGATTTATTTGGTGATTTTATGTGTTTGTAGGTCAATATTCAACAAAGGAACAATATATTTGGATGGAAACTACATATATCAATTTTGTGAAGAGACAATTGGAAGCATTTAATAAGAATTTCATATGATTAGTTTTGTACAAATAATTTTATTTTCATTTTACTCTCATACAGTTTCTTTTT